GGTAGGGAAGAGCAGGAGGGAGATACAGAATGATACAACTCTTGTGGTTATCTGAGGGCAGCTCACTACAGCAGGCCTAGTTGCACTAGACAAGTATTTTTCCACAAACTGTGTGCCTGTAGTTACTGGTTATTAGGATTGATTTTTTTTTTTTTTTTAAATTCCTACCAGCCTGCTGCAAAACAGGTTGGGTGAAACGTGGCTGCTGCCTTCGTCACAAAGTTCCATGCTGGGAGTTGTGTTGCGTGCACTGAAATCAATCCCCTGTCTCCCAGGTTTTGGGAGGAGTGAGGGAAATGGAAACGAAGGGGTTTTCTGCCCCAGAGTCCTCCCGGGAGAAGTGTTGGAGGCCTTGAGCTCTGATGCCCTGTCCTGCAAGGACCACACTTGGGAATAATGCATTTCAGTCATGGCCCCAGATACACATCCATCACTCCATCAGTGATGACTGCACGTGGTCCAGCACTGCTTCAACCAGATGGGGATTTACAAGAGAGAGAAAAAATACACCCAGTAGGAATAATAACCTTATTTTAAATGCTGAGTGGTGATAATGAGCTGTTGGGAGACATGCCAGGTGGTGGGGGTGAAGCCTTGAGCACAATTTGGGTATCTTTAGATGCTCTCCATCAGCTCGGATGGACGTTGGAAGATGTTGTAGTGTCCTGTTGAGAAGTGTTGTGACATGGCACCTTGCTGTGGTCCTTCTGTTTGGGTGTTTCAGGAGGTGAGCGAGCGGCATGGAGGGGTGAGGCAGCACGGCAGAGGACCAGGACTGCCCTGGCATCTCTGTTGGCAAAGGTGTGAGAAGACGATGGTCCCGGTGCAGTTCAATTCAAGGCAGAGGCTTTTCTAGAGTCACTGCTGACAAGGGGACCATGTCTGGCTGGTGTTCTGGCTTTGCTTGGATGAGCTGCTTCAGAATGTCCTGCACCCCCAGGCTGCTGGGCTGTGGTGATGGGGCGGGCCGAGTGAAGTGACCCCCAAAAGGAGAGCGGCTTCTCTGTGGTCCAACCTGTGTCATCCCATGGGCACACGTGGTTGCCAGGCAGGAGGAGGAGGATGCTTGTAGCAATGCTTTGGCCTGCAGCTGAGTGGTGGCATCTTGGGATAAGGCAGGTGAAGGGGCCACCAGTTCTGTTTGGGGCTGGAAGGTGGTAGAAGCAACTGGGCAGCATGTCAGACTCAGTGGGGAGAGGCCAGGTCTTCGGAGTTGAGAAGGGCTTTTCCCTGTAAAGCGCTCAGGTGATCATGGTTTGAGATTTGCTAGCACTCGGGCTGGGATTTGCTTGGGCAAACCAGCCTTGCAGCATGGCCGGCTGGGTGGGTAGCAGGGGGGACCTCTGGGGACAGGCAGGGGCGGTCCGCCTGGGAGCTGAGCGCCTCCCAGGGATGGACCTGGGCATCTTAAGAAAGCCCCTCGGGGAAACGAGGGTGGTTTTAAAAAGGAAACATGTCCTGTTTTCTGGAGTAAGCTCTGCAGAGCGTTTGTACTAGGAGCGGTGGTGCCGTGTCAGCCACGGGCGGGTGACAAGGACAGGCAGAAGGATTGAGGCTGTTTGTGAGTCACGTAGGATTGTCATTGCCATGGTCCCCCTTGGGCCAAGTTCTCTTTACTGCCCCCTCCCTGGGGTGGGAATGGCTTGGGGATGGGATGAGGTGGGGTTGGATGGGATGGGATGAATCTTGGCCCTTGCCTAGCAGGGATTGTGCAGCTGCGTGCCCAGCCTTGAAGTCCTGGGTGGCAGCTGAGGACAGAAGAGGCCAACGGCTGCTGGAGGAGAGAGGTTTGGTCATGCTGCTGGAAAGCACCATTTTCTCTGGTTCTGGCTTCCCCACCTTTTTTTGCAACGACCAATTTCTTTCAGCGGGCAGAGCCATCCCTGCAGACACACAGCACGGGGACAGGTTGTGAACCGGGCACGGCTCTTGGCTGTGGTGGGGAGGTGACTGTTCAGCAAGGACAGCTGTGCACAGGAGCCCCAGAGGAGGAGGTGGGAAACCGTCTGTCAGACCCACGCAGGGTTTTACTGAGCACAGCACAGTTCCTTGGCTGGATGCGAGCACAGGGCTTGTTGTCAGTTGCTGATCACACCGCTGACCATACCTGTCTGAGCAGCACTATGAGATACGAGGCTCCTTAGTTGCTCTAGCTGCTTTGCTTGACCATGGTCCTTCTTGGGGGCAAGCTGTGGATTTCCCTCAGCCCACATCTCAAGAAACATCCTTTCCCTGCTGTCTCTTTCTTGCTCAGAGCCTGCATTTTAGCTGCTGCATGTGGGGCAGATGCCCCAGATTGCTGCACGTATTTGCCAGCATCCTTATAGTCATGTTGCTTGTGCTGCACCCGAAATTCATGTTTCACAAGGCATTCACATTGTTGTTCATCATAAGGTTCTGGTTGTCCTGCACTACTAAATTAGGAAGAGGCAGAGCATGTTACCACTGTAGAGGCAGAAGGATCAAGTCTGGAGCATGCCAGCCTCCAGCACTGCGGTGCATGGCTCTCCCCAGCCCTGGCTGCTTTGGGTCTGCATGAAGCCTTTCCTCCACTTAGCAGTGTGCTCCATGTTGCCCCGCTGTCTGGGCCCAAACCTACCTGAGAAACTTTTATCTGCCAAAATTGTTTGCAGGGGCTTGGGGTGTGCCTGCATAATGAGCAGCATGTGCAGGGACCAGCTTCACCGCTTGGGCCAAAGTTGGAAGGTGTTGTTTTCCAGCTGTTGAAGACCACTGGTGGAGTCAGGGTGTTGGGTATTGATGGTTTGTGGGCGAGCGGAGCTCCTTCCGCCACCTCCAGTAGGGCTTGTCCTGCAGGATTTGGCCCAAAGCCCTGGGTGTTGCTGGCCATCAGCTGGGGCTGATGGTGGCTGTTTGCATGTCCCCATGTAGCATTCAGGTGGGTGGCGTCAGTCCTTCCAAACATCCTCCTTGAGCTCATCCCAAGGAAGGACAAAGCTTTGTAAAACCAGCTTCCAGCTGCTGATTGGCTACCAAAACCCAGCTCTGTGTGTGTGCATGGGGTGGCTTGGTCTGAAAACTCATGCCTGATGTTGAGAGAGGTGGTCTGGCTCTGCTGTGGTCAGAGCATTGGAGCTGGGCCAGGTTAGAACACCGGGCACTGCTTTGGTCGGAGCTGACGGACTACAAGCAGGATTGTGAATGCTGATCTGGGTAGACAGTGGATGAATTCATGGCTTGGCTGGATCCTCCATGGACTTGGGTGTCTCCAAACTCCCTGCTGCCCAAGTGTGTCTTCTTGCAGCCAGGCTGGGGAGGTGTTTGGTGGCCGTTACCCCTTGGGAAGCCTTTGCAATGCTTCCTGTGCATCCGTGCCCTGAGGCTGCACTGCATCGAGGCTGGGAGTGGAACAAGGCAATGTTGAGTGTGTTGGCCATCTCCAAGGACAGGCCTCTGAGGATATGTATGATATTTAGGTTTCCCCACAGAAAGCAGACATGTTGCTGGGAAGTGGTGGACATCATCAGGATGAACTTTTGGAGAACCCCCCTCAAGGAGTAGCGGGGCTGGCCATGGTGGGTCTTGGGGTCCTGTCCCCCTGTCCCTGACCAGCCTGGGGCAGTGTGGTCAGGGGTGTGTGTGCATCCCGGCCTTGCCTGTGCGGCCATGACTCTGCAGAGGCTCGTTTCGGGAGGTTTCCTTGGAAACCCGGCAGCCAGCATGAGGCGGGAGCGTTCCCAAGACAGCTTCAGCCCCAGCGGGTGGTGACTGGTGAAAGGCTGGGAGAAATGGCTCTCCCTGGGGATGAGCTGCTCCAGCTCAGCGTGGGGAAGCAGGATGCTTTGGCAGGCTCTTGCCAGCTGCTGTCTGATTCCTGGAAAGCCTTTGCCCTCCTGCTGCAGCATGCTTGCAGACCCTAACCCTGGGCTTTGTCTTTGCAGGAGCAGGAAGATCCAGATCCGAAACATCCCCCCCCACCTGCAGTGGGAGGTAAGAAGTGGACAATCCAAAAAACATCCCGTTCATGACCTCCTCCACCAGTTGTGCTGAGCAGCACAAGCTGTGCTGCTGGAGCCTGTAGTCTGCAGATGGGCCACCCTTTACCTTCCCAGTACGCCAGAAAGGAGGTGGAGCATAGACTGATCTCCATCTCCTGCCTGCTTGTGTGTCCCAGAGGCACAGGGCGGCTTTGAGTAGTAGGGCATCATTGGGATGATGGGATGCAGGTGGGTGGAGGCATTTAAGAAGTGGTTGGGTGATTTGGGCTCTTTGGAGGGTGTCTGTGGGTGAAGCAGGCTCTTCCCCTGCCTGCTCCCTGCCTGCCCAGCAGCCTCACCTGTCCTGTTTGCTGCTCTCTCCTCCAGGTGCTGGATGGACTGTTAGCTCAGTATGGCACGGTGGAGAATGTAGAGCAAGGTAAGATGGTCCAGCATGGATCTTGTCGGTGCAGAAGTCCCAGCACTCCACAGTGTAGTGTCCCAGAGCTCCACAGCTCTGCCCACACTGGAAAAAAAACAGTGGGGTGAAACTTAGTTTCCCAGTCATTGGTACTGGGCTAAAATGGTTTTCCCAAGCCCTGCTGACAGAGATGGGGCTGCCCATCCAGTAGTGGGATGGCATGGGCCATCAGTCCTCCATCCCCAGGGCTTCTCCTGGTCACTGGAAAATTAAAAAAAAAATTGTCCCTGCAAGCAAAAACAAGCCAAGTGTTGTTTGGGGTCTGCTGGTAGGTCGGTGGTGTCCAACCATGAATCCTTCTTAGTGAGGGTGGCGGGATCTGACCTTGACACCTTATGGTCCTTTGCCAGCCCAGGCCAGTCCTTGTGCTGGGGGAGAATACAGCGGTGCACAAACACACACGCAGTGCAGTGCCCCTTGGGACAGGCATTGCCCTCCCCTCATCCCCACCTGCCACACCCTCTGGGGCATACTGGGGAGGCTGGGAGCGGTGATGACGTCTCTGTCTGTGCTGTAATGCTCCTTCTCTTGCTTTTCCCCCAGTCAACACAGACACAGAAACAGCCGTTGTCAATGTAATGTATGCAACTAAAGAAGAAGCAAAAGTGTAAGTGGGTTTTGTTTTGTCCGTATTTTCACACAACATGAACTTTTACTGAGGAATATCAGATATCTTCCAGGCTTCTTATCTTCTCTCTAAGCCTCCTTGGGTTGTTTCTAAGCTCTTACAGTGTAAACTTCAGGTGCCTTAAGGGATAGCTGTGTATCTTCTCAGGATACAGCAAGAAGGTGTTGGTTTTATCTTGAGCTGTGTGATCTCCTGTGTCTTCTGCCAGCAGTCTTTTCTTTGTCCCACTGCTGGGCAGTCTCCTTGCTTTCCCCTCTCACATGGGAGATGGGGTCTCCCGTGGTGCCCTGTCATACATGCACAGGTACTGCTGCACCAGCTTGGGACCATCAGCCCTGTGGTTGTCCTCTCCGCCTTCTCCTCTTGCCCCCAGGGGGCTCCCAGATGTGCCATCTTGCAATTCACTTTGGACACTGTCCTTCCTACAAGGTCCTCTGCAGGGTTGCAGTGGCCTTGTCTTGAGGGAGCAGAGCTCTCTAGAAAGCTGAGGGTCAGATCAGATAAGCAGTTCATCAAGGATTCATCTTCCCAGGTTGGAAGTCCAGACCTAAACTGGGAATGTACTGGACTAATCACCAGTCCGACCACCCAGCCCGAGCTGCTGAAGAGGTGGAATATGGTGAAGGAGGTGGGAGAGTTGGTGAAGAAACGCTGTGAGGATGGGAGATGTAGGAACCCTCCGCCATTTGGGGAAGATTCAAGTTGGAGACCAAAATAGGCAGAGACTGTCTCCTCCTGATTCCTGGAGTTGAGAGAAACTGTCTGGTTGTCTTCTAAAAGGCTGTCAAAAAGTTCTGCTGTGATCAAGGGAGGGCTTTTGAGTGGATGCATAACTGGTTAGAGGAGGTGAGAGGGAGCCAAGTGCTACATGGCTGGTTTCTGCAGGGGAGGGAGGACAGCAGAGGGTAAATAACCTGCATGTTGTGCAGAGGAGTCTTAAAGAAATGCCATCCATCAAGAAAAACTTTAAAAGGATGGAAGAACCCAATGAGGCTGTGCATCAGTGCAGTAGGGCTGTGTGAAGACACACATAGATTTATTGTAACCAGCAGAGGGAAAAAAATACAAATCAGGGGTTATTTCAGAAACATGAGGACTGTTTCTAGCAAATGCTTTGTTATAGACTTGTAGAGACTTTAGCCCTGTGCTAGACACCAGCACTAAGTTAGCTATGAGTAAGTAGCGAGCACATCTCATACTTAGTGGCCAGGGTATTTTTGATATGACCAAGAGCCAGGCAGACCCCATGCAAGCAAGAGCCTTTGCCAGAGTCTATTTGCTGATGGACGTTCCAGCAACCACCCATCTGAGTTGACCCATCATGAGGTTGGACTTGGGAGGACAGGGATGGGGAGAGCAACCTGCTGGTCTGGGAGGCCAGAGGAGAGTCCTCCTTGTGCCTGCTGGGGTGGCCATGCTGGGTGTGCTCCAGCCTCGGCTGGCCGGAGGAAGGTGCTGTGGACCACGGATAAACATGGCATGAGGTGCGATGTTTTGGGCTATGTGGCAAGAAAGGAAGGCAAAGAGTCTCACCAACACAGTCAATGCTTGATGCTTTGGAGTGAGAGGCTTCAGAATTATAGAGGATACTGTGATCAGTCGCATCGAGCCAAGCTGACACCTGTCTTAGGTGGTGCCCAGCAGCTCGATGCAGAAGTGAGCAATGGGAGAAAAGGGTGGTTTGTGGGTACGTGTGTTTGGTTTAGAGCATGTTGTGATAGGAACAGATGAAAGGAAGACATTGACAGAGAAATCGGACTGTGGGGCACAGTGCTGATTTTGGAAAGGGACCGTGAAGTTGCAGAAGTTCTCACTGGATGTGAAGTTCAGGCCTGGCAAGGAGCTGCTTGCACTGGTGCATTCATACGCCTGCCTGTAAACAGCCAAAGCGAGATGCGGTGGGAAGAGGGAAGAAGTATGGCTGAAGCCATCACCACCCGCAGAAGTCATTGTAGACTCTGTCATGACTGAGCATCACATGTCTGAGGAAGGGCTTGGGGGGGATCAAGAGCCCAGGTGCTGTGCCTCCAGCCTCACCGAGCTGGAGAGGCAGTTGGAGTTCCTGATAGAGAGGCACCACATGCTGTGTCCTTCTTGGAGCAGCGTGTCTTCCTTGGAGCCCCTCTGTCACCTTTCCCATGTCCAAAAAGCCTGTGAGACCGTTGCCATGCTGTGTGACAGCTTCTGGCCAGTGCTTTCCCCAGGTGGAGTGGCAGATCCCCAGGCTGGGATCCCACCGCTGCTGGTGGGACAAACTGTGTGCCAGCCCTGGCATCACCCACATGGGAGGGGACATCATCCCACCGTGCTATGGGGCTTGCTCCACACTGGGAAGGTTGAAGGGCTCTGGCTTCCCGTGGTCACCTTCTCCAGTCCAGGGAGGGAAGAAGATGCGGGTTGAGGAGGGACTGCAAGTCTACAAGGGCTAGTGCTGGGGGCGCTGGAGGGGTACTCATCCCTGGAGATCCCATCACCACCCTCTGCATCTCCCTACCTTGCAGGGCAATTGAGAAGCTGAGCGACCACCAGTTTGAGAACTATTCCTTCAAGATTTCCTACATCCCGGATGAAGAGGTGAGCTCCCCTCCGCCCCCACAGCGATCCCGTCGCGGGGCCTACTCTTCCAGGGAGCGGGGCTCCTCCCCGGGGGGCTCCTCACAGCCCAAACAGCTCGATTTCCCACTGCGGATGCTGGTGCCCACGCAGTTTGTTGGTGCGATCATAGGAAAGGAGGGCTTGACCATAAAGAATCTTACTAAGCAAACCCAGTCAAAGTAAGTACTTCAGATGGTTTTGTTTCTTTCTGTAGGGTGCTGTAGGTCCCTGGCATGGGTCCTCCATGCATCTGGGGCTTTTGAGTGCTGGCCAGTGCTGATTCTTGGGATGCAGCCTCCATGGGATGGTGGCAGAGCCTCTGTCCTAAACTTCCTGCTGGCCAGGGTGGTCTGGGTGTGGCAAGAGGGGGATGCACGTTCAAAAGGCCAGGAATGGGTTTCTAAAGCCTGATTACGAGAACCCTAAAGGGAGAAATGGCCAATCTGGGGATAAAATGCTGGAGGGGGATCCCAGGTAGAGTGGTCAGTGCCCACGCAGCCTTTGCCCGCAGGATTTGCTCATCCCGCAGCGCCCCGTATGGGCTAGAGCTGTTGTAGGAGGAAAGGGGGCACCGTGAGAGCACTGTTTTGAGAAGGATGGGCTTTTTGTAACTGAAGCCTTTTTTTGCAATCTAGCATTTTTAATTCTGAAGGAAAAAAAAAGAAGGGGGGGGATTGTATTGCCAAAGTTCTCCGTGTTTCTCTTGTCAACGTTCACATTGATTTCATCACTGATTTTCTGCATGGTTTTCCTGCATGGTTTGTTCCTGCCCAGATTTGTTTGTGTTTAACCCAAAGCTGTCTTCTCCCATGCTCATCATCCTGAACCTGGTGATCCCACAGGACATAGGACTCCTGTACCAGAACATCCTCCGGGGCGTCCTAGTTCTCAGAGAAGCTTTTAGAGGCAAATTATTTGGTAATAGCACGTCTGCTTGAGCAGGAGGTAGGAAGATGCGCTGCTCTGCAGCTGAGCGAGCTGAACCCCAGCGTTGGGTTTGCAGGAAGAGGTTTGTACGGAAAGGGGGCAGATACATAGGGAGAGGAGCTCTTTAAGCCCAGCTAGCCCTAAAGCGTGGCCACCTAGTAGCTGTGAGCTGGTCCCAGTTGGCTGCAAGCCCTTCTTCTCCAGGTGAGTCCCCTGGTGTGATGAGCAATGGGTGTAGCTGTGTCCTTGCCACCCAAGACTGGAAGGTTGCCCTTTGCAAGCCCTGAGCCTGGTGAGGAAGGTGGGAGGCACTGGCTGCCAGTTTCTCCTGACCACGAGGGCAAACGCTGCTGTCTGGGGTAGTTTCTGCCACCGAGCTGTCCCTCCTGGTGGATTGGCTCACCGTGTCTGCCCCAAAGACCTGGTGTCATGGAGGAAGGCCGTGCTCCGTGCTCTCACCTCTCCTGACCTGCCCAGGGAGGCCATGTGCCATGGCGGGCCACCACCTCTGCTCCAGCCTTGGCCAAGGGGCACCTCATGCACCCAGCCTGGGCAGTCACAAGAGACCATTGCCTTCAGTTTGGGGTGTCAGCCCGCAGCTCTGTGCCTGCTCAGGCCACCGTTACTCACCAGCGTGATGATTCTGGGGATGAGAATGCTGGTGACATCCTGTTGCCTGGCCCCTGCTGCTGCCCAGAATGATGTTGGGTCCTGGATTCCTCTGGTCACATAGAACTTCACCCCTGTCTCCACATGTAGTGATGCCCAGAGATACTCCTGAGCTCCAGGGGACAAAACTATCCCCAGGTTGACCCATCTTTATCCTTGGCTGAGGAGGAGTCCAGACCAAGAAGCCACCCCAGATGACTTTCCACAGTGATTGCAGCCCTTGTAACTTGGTCAGGAGAGGACCATTGCTACCAAGCAGCCATGGGGCAGGATACCCCTACGTGCACACCATACCATCCACCTTGAGAGGGCTGTCCCTCAGGGCTACAGCTCTCTAAAATGTTCCCAGCATCCCTCCCAGCTGCCCCGTAAGGTGTCTTGGAGGTTTTTCCTGCTGCATCATGGGCAAACCTGCCCTACCCCTGTCGTGCCATCCCCATTGTCAGCTGCCCCTGTCTCCCCTGCCTGCAGCACCCTGGGGTCCTGGGCAGCTGCTGCTGAGTTTAGGGGGTTGAGGGTCCCCTTCTCCATCCTCTTGTTGGAATGGAGCTGTGCAGCAGCAGTGGTGGGACATGCTGGGAAATCCAGAGCCCTCCTCCACCTTCCAGCTCTTCGGGGTGGGACATGCCTGAACACAGCAGCCCCTTCCTGGCCCCCCATCTCTCGTGCCTGCACATCCAGGTTGGGAATGGGTCGGAGGTCAGCCAGAAACCAAGCCTCTGTCCCTCTCTTGGGCTTGTCCAGGGTACTCATCACTTCGGTGGGTCCATTCAGCCCATCTGTGGCTCTTGGCCCCTCTTCAGTACAAAGACTCAGCTGTGCGCCCCATCTCCACCAACCTCAACTGCTCATGGGTTCACGAAGTGGCCTGACTCCTGTCTGTGGGGTTCTTTTGGGGCATTCATGGATTCCTCATCAGTTCCACCTAGCCGAGAGCATCAACCTGGTGTGACATTGCAGCACTGCTCTGGAGCATGGGCCTGTCATTGCCTTTGTGGCACGTCGTGATGCATTTGCCTTCTCCTCGGCAGAGAGGGTGGCAGTGGGTGTCCCTGTGTCTGCTGGGTGCTGCCCCTGAAGGAACAGATCCTCAAAGTCAACCTGATGGAGCTCCACAGCTGGGAGTGCCTTAGAGGGTGTCACGCATCATGCAACTCTCTCACCGTGTACTGTAGACATAACCAAGGGGCAGGGAGAGCTCAGAACTGCTGGTGTTGCCAGCACCTCTTTGCACAGTCCAGGCAGGACCAGTCTCCTGCCTGAGCAGCTCTGGCTGAAGCCATAGGAGATCTGGAAAGAAGTAGCCTGCAAAGGGATCAAACTCTGTCTTCATTCCCTGTTCAGTGCTCAAATGAAACCACCCTGGGGTCCCTTTTGAAGCTGGTGGGATAGGCTCTTCCCTTGACTGGGGGACGGTTCACCCAGCTGCTCACCCTCTACCCGTAGATGAAGTCTCCTTGTGCTACGTGCTGGTTCATGAGCTCCTCTGGAAGAGCTGACCTGTGCAAACCCACTGTGACCCTGCAACATCCAAATGTGGCACTGGTTAGGGGTGATTCTGCACCACAACCCTTGGCCTTGCATGCACAGCAGCACCCATGAATGATCCCGGTCATGATTGGAACCTCTTACAAAAAGAGAAACATGGCCAGAGGGCACCATGTTGGAGCTGAGCGCTGGGGGCATTGACTGAGTGGCTGAGCAGCCACCTTACTGCACCTCCTCAGAAGATCTGGGCCAGCCCAACCCTGGCTGCAGCAGTGACAGGGATGCCGAGGTGGTGGCTGATGGCAGGATGGCTGCACAGCATCATCCTCTGGCAGGAAGAGTGCGTGGACTCAGCGAAGATGGCAAGGTTGCTTACCCCTGTTCTTCAAGATGCGTGGTTGACGTGCAGGAGTCTCCTACCCTGCTTTCCTCTCTCCCTCTCTCTCAGGGCCTTTGCCAGGTACGGTTGAGCGGTGAGGAGCGAGCTGGAGGCATGTGCCTCCTCCCCGCCATGAGCTGAGGGGAGGACCAGAGGAGCTAGAGCACAGTCCCTGCCGGTGCGCAAGGGAGAGCTTTCTGGTCTCCCGTGGAAGGGCGTGAGTACAAGCGTTGTTGTTGACGTGTGCCTCCATGTCGTGACAAACGCTGCCTAAGGGTAAGTTGTCTTTCTGTCCCGAACGACACACAAGGGTTGTGGCAGCTGCTGATTGCTGGACAGCCTCGGGTGTTGTGCGGAGAGAGGCTGAGGTTGGAAGGGACCTCTGGAGACCTCTCATCGGGTCTCCTGCTCCAAGAAGGACTGGTGTCAGAGGTGATAGACCAGGTTGCTCAGGGCTTTGTCCAGTTGAGAATTTGTTCTGCCCCCTCTTGATGCATTGTTTCACATTGATTGACATCCCTCAGCTCCCTCAAAGACCTCAGGTCATAAAGGTGAACGTAGCTCAAATCTGATCTAAGCCAACAGAATCGAAACACTACCTGGGCTTGAATGAGATCAGGTGGCTGTAGATGTACATCAGCGAGACCCAGGTTCACCCCAAAGCTTGAGCAGGTGTTGAAATGAGCTTTTCTGTGAATAGCAGGCTCAGCTACTGAGCTTTTGAAAGCCTTTGTATGACACCAGCCGCATCTCAGGGTGCTCCTCTCTGCTGGTTGTTTTGCTGTAGGGTTGACATCCATCGGAAGGAGAATGCCGGCGCCGCCGAAAAGCCCATCACCATCCATGCCACGCCAGAGGGGTGCTCTGAAGCATGTCGCATGATCCTTGATATCATGCAAAAGGAGGCTGATGAAACTAAATTGTAAGTGCCCCTGGCTCAGCAAAACAGGCAGATTTGGTGAAAGGGAGGTAAATTCAGCCATCTTCTGTCACTCCCCACCCCCTGAGGGAACTGGTGGCATTCAGAGTTTCGGGATAGAGTCATGAGTCAGTTAATAACTTAAAATTCAGTCACTTCTTCCTGATGTCATTGACGGTGCTGGAGAGACCAGAAGCTCAGGTGGGTCCAAAGAGCATGTAGGCAAACTTGGAGAACAGAACACCACAAAATACAGATAGGCTTGGGAACTCCCTGCGTTCCCGTTCCCCCGAACTTGAGGAGATAGAATGGTGGGAAATGGTGGTGGTTCTTTTGCTCCTTCCACCACATCATTAGTACCCGTTGCTGGAAATTGGTTTCCTGGCAAAATGGACCTTTAGGTTTATTTATTTTTTAATCCATTTTAGAGCAGAAGAGATTCCTTTGAAAATCCTAGCACACAACAGTCTGGTGGGGAGGTTGATTGGCAAGGAGGGCCGCAACCTCAAGAAGATTGAGCAGGACACGGGCACGAAGATCACCATCTCCCCGTAAGTCCAGATGAGCACCAAGCCATCCCCCTCCATTCAACACGGTACGGGCAGCACTGGAGCCAGAAAACAGAGCACTTTTGTCCTCCCATGCACGTTCCCCATCCCGGGTGGGCGTTCCTCATCCCAGGTGGATGGTGGCATTGGGCAGGGAGAGGGCGTGTGGCCTCACGCTGTCTCATGGGGGAACCCTCACCTTTGATTTTGAGTTTTCCTTTTTTTTTTTTTTTTTTTTTTTTTTTTTTTTTTTTTTTTTTGACTTGAAGAAAAAAATGTAACTGCATCTCCAGATTTATCTGTGGGGTAGTTTGCAGGATTTAACCATTTATAACCCTGAGCGGACCATCACGGTGAAGGGCAGCACAGAGGCGTGCTCCAATGCCGAAGTGGAGATCATGAAGAAGTTGCGAGAGGCCTATGAGAACGACGTGGTGGCCATCAATGTAAGCTGCCAGCCCTCCCGCCTGGGATCCACTGCTGAGGTGGCCAGGAGAAAATTGCGGGGGGAGTCCTCCTGTTATGGCAAGGCTTGGCCTTGCCAGTCATGTCCACATGGTGTGGTGAGAACCCCAAAAGCCCCACTCTGCCTTTTACACGTTACTCCCTGTCTTTGCTTTCCCAGCAACAAGCCAACCTGATCCCAGGACTGAACCTCAGTGCTTTGGGCATCTTCTCAACAGGGCTCTCCATGCTCCCATCCACCCGAGGGGCTGCAGCGGCTGCCCCGTACCACCCATTTGCAGTAAGTGCAAGAGGTTTTGGGGTGTGGAGGATGTGTTCTTGGGGGCAGAGTGGTCCCTAGACTCTCCTGCTGTACTTGTTGGGTTTGGGTGGACACTGTAGGAGCTGTAGGAATCTGTAGGAGCCTTCTCATGGGGAGCTTTGAACAAGAGCTCTGACTCTTGGCCATCTGGGGAAGATGCTCATCACAGCAGTGAAGCAGAGAAGAGAGTGAATGAACGTGGCTTGTCCCTCCTTGGATTTAGCTCCCCGGGAAGATCAGCTGCATCCCCGTGTTGTGCTGAGCTTGGTTTCACCTGTGTTTAATGACTGACCATGTCTCAAGGGTGCTGCTCTCTGAAGGTGGCTGGGGGCAATCTGTGCCTGTGCTGGCATGGAAAAAACATGTAGGTGGTCTTTGTCCTGACTCCAGACACACCACTGGGTTGTGATGGTGTGGACTGAGTTCTGCCCTGCAGGTCTGGTCTCAGTGGCCACCTGACCCTGCCGGCATCGCCACAGGGCGTGCAGAGCATGATGGGAAAGGGGACAAGCAGCACGCCCTGTGCCACACCGCCGCCAGCTCTGATCCCTGCCCTAGCACCCCAGGGGCTGTGCTTGCTGGGAGCTGATCTGCACCTGACTTCATAGGCGAGGGTTCTCCTCTTTCTGGGGGTGCTGTGGCACTGGGGCAAAGCAAGCCTGAGAAGCAGTTTCCAAACCACTGATGTTGCACGCAGGCAGGGACCATCCTGTGTCAGGGAAATGTGCTGGCCAAAGTGCTGATTGGGAAAGTCCATCCCCAGCCCACTAGCATCTGCAGAGGACCCTTAGGGTGACCAGGCTCTGTGGTCTGTCTCTGTTAGTCTGTCTAAATACGTCTGCTGATGAGTTTTGGCTGCGTGGCGACCGGCACGCGGGTTCATTTACTTGTGCTGTTTTCTTTTCCTGGCGACGCCAGCAGCAGAGCGGTCGGAGGAGAACGGTGAGTGACAGGCTGGTGGTGTGGAGGGGTGGATGAGTGTGACGCGTGTGATGGCCCTGGAGGGCAGCGAGAGGGTCTGTCTGTCCGTGCGCTGCCAGCCCGCAAACGGGAGGATGCTCTGCCTGCATCGGCCGCCCGAGCGTGCGCAGCCTTCGGGAAACGTCTGCTGGAGCGGTGGTTGGTGTGATGGAGAGGAGCTGGGCAGGTCTTCTGAAGGTGTGGGCTCCTTCACCTTTGCGTGGCCTTTTCCAAGCCACCACAGTGAGGCCAAGAGGAGCAATTGCCTTTGCCATCATTTTTTAGAGTAAAACAAGGAGCTGGCAAAAAACCTTATAGGAAACCATCTTGGCTCAGTGGCAGCTCCTTTCCCTTAAGTACTTTGTGTTTCACACCTCCGAGTGGTTATTTCTGACCGTGTCCTCGGTGGGACCTGGGGTTAGTGGCTGTCACTTCAACTCCGGAGTTCTAGAGACCTGTCGGGGATGGAGGATGAGGAAGCAGCGTCACGGTGAAGGGGGGGAGCTAGGGAGGTGCTGTGCCCACTCCAGCCACAAGGACCATCTGGGCAGGAGAGGAGATGTTGGTGTAGGAGACATGAAGCAGCCCGATGCCAGAAGCAGAGGATGGACACAGGGAGCATGAGCTCAGTGTGAGGAGGAGCACAAAAGCCTCAGTGCAGTGTATTTAAGTAGAGGGTTGGGAGCAAGAGTGATGTCTGCCATGGGCAGGGGAGCCGTGTCTTCTCTGCCCAAGTAACCATGGTTTGCAGGTAGCATCTGGTTGTGCTTGTCCAAATCCATAGCAGGAGAGTTGTGTCTGCTGCCAGGAGAGATGTCTGATGTGTTTGACACACAGAAGAGTTGAAGAGGAGTTGGGTTGGGTTGGTTTGGGGGTGCTGGCACGCACCCCTTGCTTTTGGCTATAGAGAGACACACTGCTTTCTCCCTGTCCCCGGCACAGGTCTTGGGAGAACAGCTTCAGCCTTTTTGCTTTTTCTTCTCTTGGAACTGGAGAAGGGAAGTGGTGATGGAAGTCAGAGCAAAGCTAGATGTTTTGCTCAGTTCTCACCAAACTCCCACCTTCTCCACAGGGGATCAGTGGTGGTTACAGCGTGGTTTCAGCTTTCCAGGGTTGTGGCTGCTCCAGAAGGCTGTAGGGGCCAGTTTTCCACTACAGACACTAGCAGGACACAGCCAGAAAAACAGCAGTGGGGAGGAACTGGGGGTAACTGGGAGCTCCCATCCACCCCCCAGCCCCGTTGCACTGTGCTGCAGGTGCAGGATCCGGGCTGCTGCTCACCTTGATGTGCCCTCGGATACCTCCTTACTGTCTGGGAGGGGTTTCAGGGGCTGAAGAGTTGTCTCTGTGTCCCTGCCCAGTGGTGGTGGTGGTGGCACGCTGCTCCGTGTCGGGCTGGGGGGGGCTGGTAAGGGGCTGGCATGTTGGGGATGTCACTGACCCTCCTTTTCTCTCCTGCCATAGAGCTCCTCAGCATACCTCTCTGGTCTGTACGGAGCCCCCCCAGCCGGTGCCTTCCCCCATCAGCACCCCGTAAGTGCTGCTGTACCTCCCTCTGTGAGATCTTGGGCACTGCGGGAGGGCTGGCACTCGGCCAGGGCGGGCAGCTGCTGTCCTGGGATGCTGTCAGGAGGGCAGGCAGCCACGGTTCGGCTGCTCCCCTGACCATCTCGCTTTTCTGCGCCCTTGCCAGCTGCCAGAGCAGGAGATTGTGAACTTGTTCATCCCGACGCAGGCGGTGGGGGCCATCATTGGGAAGAAGGGGCAGCACATCAAGCAGCTGGCGCGGTTTGCCGGTGCCTCCATCAAGGTGAGCAGGGTGCTGCAGGGCTGGTCCTGGGCTTCGTGCCTCAGTGTGCCCTTCCTGCTGCCAAGGGCAGCGAATGGAAACCCTTGGGGAGTGGTTTTACTCCCCAGATTAGTAGAAACGCGGTCCTGAAATGCCCCGGTTATCACCCCTGCTTGAGTGGGAGGGGCTGCTCCTGACGGGGGGTGTGCCTGCATGGGGGGATGTCCCACAGGGGAGGTTTTGCCAAAGCAGGGCCACACTGATGCACCTTCTCCCCCATCCCTCTGTAGATAGCCCCAGCAGAAGGTCCTGACGCCAGCGAGCGGATGGTCATCATCACAGGGCCGCCCGAGGCTCAGTTCAAGGTGCGCTGGCCATGGGGTGGGGGCTGTGGCTAGGGGGATGCCAAGGGACAAGTCGAGAGCATCCCTTTAGTCACTGCTGTGTTGTCAGCCTGGGTTTACCTCCGTGGATGCCAGGGGAGCTTTTTGCTCAGGACTATGGTTTTGGTGCTGCTGGACATGGGCACATCATTGTGCTCGGGGTGGGGAGGGCACAGCAGCCACCTCCAGGGCTTTATTTCCACCGGTTTTACCTCCCCTTATGTCTCCTCTCCAGGCCCAGGGGCGAATATTTGGGAAGCTGAAAGAGGAAAACTTCTTTAACCCAAAAGAAGAAGTGAAGCTTGAAGCCCACATCAAGGTGCCTTCCTTCGCCGCTGGCCGTGTGATAGGCAAAGGTGGCAAGACGGTAGGTGGGGGGGTTCAGGGATGCTCCCCCCTGCCCCAGGGCATCACCCGTCACCCCTGCCTGGCGGGGGGGCAAAGCCTGGGTGCTCAGTGATCTCAGCAACGTCTTGACCCCAACCCTGTGTCCTGGTGGTGGCTCTCGTTGGGTGGTGACCATCCCAAGGAGGGGACAGGGTGGGAACCACGGCAGCCTGGTACCGGTACCACGTGCTGGCTCAGAGCTCAGGGTGACTTCAGCTTTTCCCCAACAAAACCCAGGGCTCTTTCATTTCCTTCAGGTGAACGAACTGCAGAATTTAACTAGTGCAGAAGTCATTGTGCCGCGAGACCAAACCCCAGACGAGAACGAGGAGGTCATTGTTAAAATCATTGGGCATTTCTTTGCCAGTCAGGTAAGGTTAGGCTGTGGCTTTTCTGATACTCCCAGCCAGTTTAATCCACAAAGGAAAGCCATGGAGCACAGGGCTGCGAGAGCAGCCTGCCGCTCTGGTTTGGGTGGTTCCTGTGCACCCAGGGCGCACAAAAGGTGTTTTGGCAGCTCTCCCCAGCTGTGCTAGCATTAAAGACTGGCTTGATTTAGCTCAAGTTTGTGTCTTGGGCACCATGTGTAGTGGCCCCTGGGGTGTGAATCAGCTCCTCCCTGGCATCAGTGCCAGCAGGGAGCTCTCCCAGGCGCCCACATCCCACCTGGGTGCATGTCCTTGTCTTCTGCCTGCTCGAGTGGGATGGTGGCACCCCAAAACTCAGGACCTTGGGAAGCGATAGAAGCAGCACAAGTTAAAAACCCTGCAGCACTCCACCTGCATCTGTGTTGGAGCAGAGCAGCTCCTTCTTTAGCACATCCTTAGTTACGTCTGGGCCGAACCATGTGCTCCTTCTGTAATTTAAAGCTCGGAGGGCAGCAAGATGCTGTTGTGCCTAGAGGGGGGAACAACCACTCAGGCTGCTTGCGGTGCCCACACTGACCCCCGGTTCTTGCTTCCACCCCCCC